TTATGAGGAATCAATAGAAAACCTAGGAAAGAGTTAATATAAATCATATTATTACAAGTGACTGAAACTTGTGAAATAATTGGCATTCTGTAATGGATAAGAACACATGGATAGAATCTAAAGCTACAACCATGCCAGAGAGGGGCTTTAGGATTTGGTGGAAACTCTGCTATTGTGGGGGAACAACAAATATGTTCTGTGACAGTTGAACATGGACTGTGAGTGAGGGGAGGAAAATCATTTATAATTTATTTATTTATTTTATTTATATCCCGCCTATCTGATCGGGTGAGGACCACTCTAGGTGGCTAACAATCATTGTAGAGTGAGGAACAGAATTATAGAATTATAATGTCCTACAAAAGGACATGCTGGCTAACGTATTCTGAACAGGAGGATTTCATGCTGTACAATGTTCCTGAAGGCCCTACATGGCTTCTCTATGCTGCTCAAGTAACACATGGAACAGCCAATTGTCTGTCTCTTCTGAATTTACACCACTGCTGCATATCACTGTTTTTAGCTAGCACTTGTATAACAGCTCTCCATTTGATGCAGGGATACAATAATTATTCTTGTGTCACCTTAAAGCCTAGCAGATTTATTATTGTATAAATCTTTGTGGTCTAAAGTCCATTTCATGCAAGACTAATCTGATATCTTTTTTTGTAACCTTCCTGATAGACAGAGGGAATGCTGTAGACATAGTATATCTTGACTTCAGCAAAGCTTTTGACAAAGTGCTCCTATGACATCCTGATTAGCAAGCTAACTAGGTGTAGGCTAGACAAATCAAGGGTCAGGTGGATGCACAATTGGCTACAGAATTGTACTCAGAGGGTGATGATTAATGGCTCCTTTTCCAATTGGGATGAGAGAACAAGTAAAGGTAAAGATTCCCCTTGACAATTGTTGTCCAGTCATGTTCGACTCTAGGGGTGGTGCTCATCCCCGTTTCCTAGCCATAGAGCCAGCGTTTTATCCAAAGACAATCTTCCGTGGTCACATGGCCAGTGCTACTTAGACATGGAACGCTGTTACCTTCCCACCAAGGTGGTCCCTATTTATCTACTTGCATTTGCATGCTTTCAAACTGTTAGGTTGGTGGGAGCTGGGACAAGCAACAGGAGCTCACTCCATCGCGTGGATTTGATCTTACAACTGCTTGGTCTTCTGACCCTGCAGCACAGGTTTCTGCGGTTTAGCCCGCAGCGCCACCATGTCCCTTGAGAGAACAAGTGGGGTACCCCAAAGCTCAGTCCTGGGGCTGATGCTCTTGAACATTTTTATTAATGACTTGGATGAGGGAGTACAGGGAATGCTTGTCAGATTTGTGGACAACACAAAATTGGGTGAAATAGCTAATAATCTGAAAGACAGAAACAAAATTCAAAATGATCTTGATATGCTCAAGCATTGGGCTGAAAACAACAGAATGAAATTCAACAGGGATAAGTGCAAAGTACTGTACCTCGGAAAAAGAAACCAATTGCCAGTTATAAGATGGGGGATACCTGGCTCAGCAAAACTACAAGCGAGAAGGGTCTGAGAATTGTTGTAGATGACAAGCTAAATATGAACCAAAAGTGCAATGTGGCTATAAAAAAGGCAAATGCTATTTTAAGGCATATTAACAGACTTATAGTATCCAAATCCCACGAGGTGCTATTCCCCCTCTATTCAGCACTGGTTAGGCCTCACCTTGAGCTTTATGTCCAGTTCTGGAGACCATGCTTCAAGAAGGATGCTGACAAATTGGAAGAAGTTCAGAGGAGGGCGAAAAGGATGGTCAGGGGGCTGGAAACAAACCCCTATGAGGAAAGACTGAAAGAACTGGCCATGTTTAGCCTTGAGAAAATAAGACAGAGGGGTGATATGATAACACTTTTCAAAGATATGAAAGGCTGTCATACAGAGGAGGGGCAGGATCTCTTCTTGATCGGCCCAGAATGCAGGAAACACAACAATACGTTCAGGAAGCCAGATTTCAGTTGAATATTAGGAAAAGCTTCCTAATTATTAGAACACTAAGACAGTGGAACCAATTACCTCGAGAGGTGGTGAGTGCTCCAACCCTGGAGGCATTCAAGAGAAACCACCTGGCAGATACCCTTTGATTTCTATTCCTGCATTGAGCAGGGGGTTGGACATGATGGCTTTATAGGCCCCTCCCAACTTCACTATTTTATGATTCCTCAGAGGCACATCCTATGTTGTGAGACGTGTGTGCATGTGTGTTTCCAGCAGAAGAAGCAAGATCAAAGTACAGAACAATTTTTTAAAAAAAGGCTGTGTTGCTTATATTCAAGCATACATATCCATAAAATAAGGACAGTGCACAATTCCCAAAGCAGAATGAATGATAATATAAATATTGTGGCATCATTAGTAAATTATCAATTGGAATGGAATGATTTAAATAACTATAGCAATATGGGGAAAAAATGAGAGGTACAATTTTCAACTTGGTCCTCTATGGTATCTATATCATGTAGGCAGAAATGTAAAATTGACTCTTGTGTGTTTAGTTTGAAGAGGGGAAAGTCTGCATGTGTTGAGGTCCATGGTTTCCAAAATTAATGTTTTTTCTAACGTGGTGACTTAGTTGAACTCCCATTTGTATAACTGCACCTTGTCAGTCTGATAGGCTCTGCTTCAGCCAAATGAATCTCTACAAAGTCATGTTACTATTTGAACAATACTATTAGCTAATTCCACTCCATTTAATATGGTGATAATACACTGCACAGCAAAATGTGCTTGTTGCCCATTGAAATCAATGAAATTTAGATGAGCTTTACTTCCCAGGACTATGATAAGCATTTTAATATGTTGCATCATTCAATTTAAGAAGCTTTTGTTTCTCCGTAAGGAACTCGGGTTTACAAAGCCATGTGCCTTGTTGTGTATTCATTACTGACAATTAAAAGTAGTAATTGGCTTGTTATGTTGTCACCAAGCAAGTTAATTTCATTTAGAGTTTTATTAATTTCACTCTGGCTGACATTTTCTTTTTAGGTATCTTTGTTCTTGACAACTTGATGATAATTCAACAGAGGGGACAAATGTGTCTATGTTATTTTGGATATGGCATTTTATTTGGAAAAGGCTGTTAAACCGGAGGTGTTACTGGTGCTGAAAACAAAATACTGCATTCCAGATTCATAACACATTAAAGGAAAAGGAAAACTAGCCCTACAATATTTATTTTACTATGACCCATGTTCAGATGTATTCCCCCTCCTGGCTATTGCTGTTCTTAATTCTGCAGGGGAAAAAGGCAAAACGAACAGAATCTTTGGTTTGTTTTGACCATCCTTGTTGCCCTCCTCTGAACTCCGGAGATTCACGCTACACCTTCGCTGGGTACTTTTAAGAACCAACTAAAAGCGTGGATGTATAGGCAGGTCTTCCCTTCCAGTTAATTCCTGACCTCTTTCCTTTTTTTTCTCTTTATTTGATTTATTTTGTATTTTTCCCATCTTGCAGAATCATTTAATTAATTAATTGTTATAAATTTTTCTTGAACTTGTTATGCTTTATGTTGTAAGCTGCCTAGAGTGGTCGAAATGACTAGACAGGCGGGGTATAAATACAATCAATCAATCAATCAATCAATCAATCAATCAATCAATCAATCAATCAATCAATCAATCAATCAATCAATCAATCAATCAATCAATCAATCAATTTTAATTGCCTGCAAAACTACCAATAGCTTTTTAGGGGAGAAAATTTACAATGGAGAAAAGATATGAAAGCAAATAGTTAAATGCCCTTCTGGTACAACAGACTAAACATACGTTCACAATCTGATGATGTTCAGAGTGGGAAAAGCCTCTTTGTAAGTTGGATATAAAAAGAGCCATTGAATGCCACAGCCCACAATTCTCAAAACAATGTTTCTCTTTTTCCTGGCCAGACATTTCGAGGTCAAAATTATGCAGTGTGGTAAGTGTACTACAGATGGCCATGAACCAAAAAATGAAAGAGGAAATTTATGGAAAATCACTGGTTCGTTGGTTTGTATTGGTTCCAAACCAGAGAACCTGAACTGAACCAAATCACAAACCTTTTAACATTTTCCCAAATTTCCTGGTTCATTCCCCCACCCCACATCCTGCTTTCTCCCCCTTCCTACTGCTCCCATCACCTCCCTACTTTTTGCTGCCACCTCATCCTCTGCCACTGTCATCTTGAGGCCAGCGGCTCCCACAGGCCAAAATGCCTCTCAAATAGCAGTCTGCCCAGTGGGAACTGCCAGGGCTGCCTCTCAAGATGGTGGTGGCAGAGTTTGAAGCAAAAGGTAGAGAAGTGATGGGGCAGTGGACTTTTTTTCCAGAGGCAGCCCTGGGCTGGCTCCCACAGGCAAATATTTTGAGAGGCAGGGGCCATTTTATACGGTGAACAAAACGATTCATGGTACATTTGGTAAAGTCTGGAAATTCATGGTTTATGGTTCATGGACTTTGATGAACCACAAATTGAAACAAATCATCATTTTACTGGTTTGTGCCTGTGACGAATGTTTACACAAATTATATTACTGAGTGTTTTAAAGGCATTTTATATTTGTCATTCATATTTAATTTCTGTCTTTTGCACTACTTTTGCCAACCATCCAGAGTGACAAAATATTGTTATAATGTGAAGTATCTTATTCTGGGTGCCAGTAACCCAGTGGTACCCTTTTCAGAACTCCTAACCTTTTTGCCCCACACCCACATTGATCAGCTACCAAACATGCTCAGTGATCGCTGAGAAATTATTGAAAAGCATTGGCGCCAAAGCACATATAGTAGGTGGGGCCTATACTAACATACCTCTTTCTGATCGCAGAAGCTCTGGAAGGTTCTGTTGAGGCTCCGCACATGTATGGATCACCCAGAGTGTGATTCACAGAGGTCATGAAGAACCGTGGGATTTCATATGTTTTAACCGACAACAACTAAGATCAATAAACCAAAATATAGGTTGTGTTTTTTTTTTAAAGGCCAAACCTTTACAAAGGTAGCAAACTCCTCCACTTTATCATTGGACATTATCAGCTTTTTCTGCACTACTTCAAGGGCCTGCTCACTTTGCCGTGCCAAGCCATGGAGTTGTTGAGAGGCAGCCGTTTCCAGTTCAGTCATGGCACATTCAGCCTCAGACATTTTACCTTCTAGGGTGGCAAGTTTAATCTCCTGTAATAAAGCCACAGGCAAACTATCAGTATTTGTGTTAAACAGCCAAACATCCTGATGAAGATAAATTACACTGTTACAGGGATAACCAGAGTGGTGGGCAACAACAACAAGATTTTCTTCACATTTTGTCACCTTCAGCGGTGGAGGTATTCTTAATGAAATTTTCTTGAATTATGAAAAATGAAATGTTAACACAATGGTCAAACTTATAGCAGTGAGTGGAGTAAATTGAACTAGAGTAGGCCAATTGAGTCAATGGAGATTTACTGAGCCAACTCCATTCCATTGATTCAAATGGGTGTACTTTAGCTGTGACTATGCTAAACTAAGTCACAGTTAGAGTAGGTCCATTTGAAATAATGATGATGATTTATTAGATTCCCATTGATTCAATGGGCCTACTCTAGTGCAATTTACTATGCTATATAACAGGATTCTGGTGAGAGTCTAAAGATCCTGCAAAATCTGAGCATTAACACATCTCAAGAATAAGAAAGAAAATTTACTAATCTTTTGTTTAAACAGGTAGTTTGGTACTAGTTAATAAGGAAAGTTGGGCTCACCATTAATTTCTTTTTCTTCAGTGGATGGAGTGTAGAAAGGACAACCCTCTTCTACGAAGCCTAACTTATCTCTCAAATACAGTGGACCCTTGACTTACAGACGGCTTGACTTACAGACTTTTTGAGTTACAGACTTCTCTGGCTGCAAAATTTAGGTTTGACTTGCAGCCTGAGAATTGACTTACAGACCGGAAAAAAACCAAAATGGAACAAAAACGGCCTGTTACGGGATTAATCGGTTTTCAATGCACTGTAGGTCAATGGAGACTTGACCTACAGACTTTTCGACTTGAGAACCGCCTTCCAATACGGATTAAGTTCTCAAGTCAAGACCCCACTGTAAGTAACTTATCTCTCAAGTTCCTCCCAGAGGAACTAATGCAAAGCCGGTTTTTT